GCGGTAGGTGTTGCAAGTTAAAGTGGTTGTAAACGCAAATATTAAAAGAATTTACTTTTTGCCATAATGAATACATTTTAATGTAAACATACATACAGCTGTGCGTGTACCTCAGAAAAATGCTCTCTTAGCTTTTCTCAGCCCTCCAAAAACTGCTGATCTGTGGGCATGGCTTAGAACCATAGAATATAAGGTGAAGATTTGATGTCACACAATCGATCAGTACACACCCTCCAGACTCCGTTCCAGAACGTGCACAGCTATCTGATATCTCTATACCTGCGAGCATGTCTCCTGAGTGCCTTCAGGGGAATACACAGGTGCCAGTGACTATGTTACCTCTGCTTACAACACAGGATCTGTGCTAAGCAGGTAGGAAGGAGTTAATGTTAAAAATCCTAGGAATCCGGCAGTTTAAAGTGGCAATGTGGACCAGGAAACATTCTCATGTAAAACTCTGTAAACAGCAATTCACAAGCTAGGTGCTGTGAATAGAACAGGACAATAATCAGCTGTCAGCAGACATACCTAGATAACTACAGCATTACTGAAGTGATGCCGATCTATGTCATAAATCACTGGTGCTGAGTTCTCGATCTTGTGAAGGCAGAGACCAGCAGGGAGAGGACACCCGCTCCCCCACCCCTTTGCAGTGTATTACATGGAGGCTCATGCTGGTCTCGTCTTCAGCACAGCCTGTCAATCATAGGAGAAGGGGAGTGGCGACACCATTTTTCTGCTTGTGTCAGATTCAGGGGCGGACTGACCATTTGGAAACTCGGCCACTGCCCGAGGGCCCGGGGTCAGTAGGGGGCCCCATGAGATGCCCCTGGTACCTTTCATAGGCTTTTTTGGGTGTGGTTTGAGTGTGGGTGAGGACACAGGGGCCCCATGATCCCCTATTTCCCGGGGGCCCCATGAGTGGTCAGTCCGCCCCTGGTCAGATTTATTCTGTTCAGAAGTGCAGGGGAGATTTCTGGAGAAGGGGATTGCTTCAAGATACCAAACTAAGATCAAATGCCTAGTAAAAGTAAAATCTATTCGACTGTAGAATTGGATTGATTTGTGTTTTTAGGGTTTACATCTACTTTAAGCTGCAGTTACCAAGGAGCTTGTACACACTTCCACTCTCTATAAATTCCAACTGGTGATCACACGACCCCATCCTTGAAGAAGTCAAGTGATTTGTGATGCAGCATGTCGGCCTGAGCCAGTTGATATCACTTCCGGTCATGGCCGAGACTAGGATTTTATACAGGGGCATCTTTGTATGTGGGCAAAATCAAAACTTGTCCATTATGCTCATCGTTGTATCACCACCTATAGGATTTACTGATGTTAGCGGTAGGTGTTGCAAGTTAAGCTGTGGTTGCCAAGGAGCTTGTAAACACTTCTGCTCTCTATAAGTTCCAGCTGGTGATCATCCAACCCCATCCCTGAAGAAATCACATGATTTGTGATGCAATACTTTGGACGGATTTCGGTGACATCACTTTCGCCCCCCCAGAAAAACTTCTGGAAGGTGCTGTTTTTGCTGTGTGGAATGAGCCTGTATTTTACGTTTACATGTGATTGGCATTCTTTTATTAAATACATATTTATTGGAAATACTATACTATGGGTGTCCCTTTTCCCTATCTTTTCTAAGCACCTACTGATCAGCACTGATGGTCTGGGAATACACATTTGAGTGGTCTGCAGGTGGACACAGAGCAGCATTCAGTGCATGGGGATTTACCAGATAAAGTGTCTTAGACCTATATGAGAGTATGGGTCATTACTGGAGGTGGGCAGCCATTTTGCACATTGGTTGCACAAATCCGTTTTATCACATTGATGATTCTTCATTTGGATTGAAGATTGATTCACGACCGATTTTTATTGCATTCACATGGACTGTTTATTTTAATTTTGGACATTTATCTTTTATGCGCCATTGTTTATTTATTTCACACTTGGAGTATGTGGGCAGCACAGGGACGATAATTTTAATTACAAGACACTGAGTGTGATTTTCTTATTTGTGATTGTTTATTTGTGGTCATATTGAGACAAGTACTGTATTCATCATGTAATGTTTATCCACACAATATTTTTAATATTTACATTGAGCAATTTTTGATTACAAGTGGGAATTTACAGCACCAGGCTATGCTCTTAAGACACTTCAGTCATTCACATAATTTTGGATTGGAGAGTTTTGTGTTTTTTATATATATATATATATATATATATATATATATATATATATATATATTTTTTTTTTTACTTAGATTTGCAGCACTAGGTTGTGGTCTCAATTAAACACATTGTTTTTTGGATTGAAGAGTTTGCACTTCACAAATTTTTATTCTTAATAGTGGCATACTGAATACTGGCAGGGTGGGCTATCCCGTTTACTACAGAGTCCTGGAGGGGTTTACACAACAGGTATTTATTTTTCTCCACAAGAGTCCAAGAAAGCTTGAGTCCAGTCTCTTGAAAGGAGACCTTCATAAAAAAAAAAATGATTTTATATGCAAAAAGGAATCCCACCTTGGGATTCCTTTCACAGATACTCTAAGCTTTGGATTTTGGATGCAGAGTGTTCTGGAATTTGGCCTTAAAAATTGCTGGCATTCTCACCATCAAGCCTAGAAATAAATGTCAATCCTGATATAAAAAGAAACCAGGTCATCCAGGTCAGATAAAAGATCTCTGCTGACCAGCTCATCCATAAAACAAACAGATAAGCATCATCAGAGCACCACTAGTGATGTCTGGTTGTTCAGGCTCATGCACACTGGATGTTTTTACAGCGGCTGTTTTTGATTTGTGGCATTTTTTTCTACAGCCAGTAAACTCCCCAGCATGTTATCCTATGTGTCCATGCACACATAGGAGTGTTTTTTGGTTGGAAAAAAAAACCCCGAACTAGTGGCTTTCTAGAGTTTTTTTAGCTGTAAAAACACTCTTGCTGGTAAACGCTGTAAAACACAGCAAAACGTGGCAAACGAGCATTTCTGAGCATTTTTCTTAGCCAAAGTTTTATTTTTTGTACAAACATGCTAAAAAATGTGAATGTGGAAAAACGCAGCTAAACACTAATGCAACTTATATAGCTGACGCTACCGGCATTTTTAAAATGCCCAGCATGCATGAGGACAAAGGCCAGAGTATAGAAACATACATGATACTGCTCAGGTTCCTGGAATCCCTGCCATAGCTGAAAAAATCTTGAAGCTGTGGAAGCACAACCAGGTTCAACACAAATCCCTTCTGAAATTTTCTAGAAACAACCAATAATTATATTGCTGTGGTGATCTGTCTTGAGAAGTGGGGAGGCCTGGGCAAGTGTTTGTCTGGATAGCAGAAATTAGGTAGAAGAAAGTTTCTTGGGAGTAATTCAAACTGGACTTGGAACTTGTTCAAACACCTTGGCAGAGCTGGGAGTTCTCAGAGTGCAGAGCAGGAAATGGAACCCATAGTAAGGAGGTGTTGCAACAGAGACCAGGCTCATGGAAGGGCAGACACGGAGGCCTGAGCTGGCTGTTAAAGAGTAGGCATGGGGGTCAACAACTGAGTGAGTTGCAGGAGGGTGTGAGAGATCTGACCCAACTTTGCATCAGTCTTTGAACCTGAAACAACAGATTCAATCTGTATCCAGGGATGATCACTCGCAGTTGATCACTCCATGAGCGATTACATGTGGGTGGCCAAGTGTCAGGAACTGCACCTGCTGGAGGGACTGTGCTTGTCAGAGCAGAAGGTTGTAGCTCCGGTGTCCACCAGCGGCTTTCTCCCAGCAGATCCCAGTAATCAGTTTCCACCTGATTCTGGCTGCTCGGAGGGTATTCAGTTCCTCCCCTACAAGTGCCTCTCACCCCTACTATTTGCTGTTCCTGATCTTGCTCCTGCCATGTACACTGTACCTGCTCCCCTTTGTTCCTGATCCCAGTTTTGGTTCCATATTCCCATCTGCTCTCTGCTCCTCTAGTTTCCTATGCTTTTCTGTGTTCCCCAAATGGTATATATTGTATATAGTTAGTTGCTAGTTAAGCTGTTTGTTAGGTTGTTTAGTTAGGTATTCTGTCACTGTATTTTGGTTCACTGATTTCTATGTTTGCTGTGTGTTGGTGTTCGGATGGTTTTTGGCTTACTGTAAATAAATCTTATTTTAAAAATATATGGCCTGTTCCCAGGTTCCTAAATGTAGCTACACAGATTTTGGGCCAAACTGTTGCTGATTCCTGATACCACTATTAGCTGCGAGAGTTGTGAGCCTTCCACTGATTTCAGAGTGTCTGCCAGCAACCAGGGGCGGACTGACCATTTGGAAACTCGGGCGCTGCCCGAGGGCCCGGGGTCAGTAGGGGGCCCCATGAGATGCCCCTGGTACCTTTTTCATAGGCTTTTTTGAGTTTGGGCAAGGACACAGGGGCCCCATGATCCCCTATTGCCCGGGGGCCCCATAAGTTGTCAGTCCGCCCCTGCCAGCAACATCTAATCACTAGGAACCCCCATGTTTTCAGCAATGGCCCCATTTTCAAGTGAGCATCAGTTACTTTGACCTTTTGCCTCAGCCCACTTAAGGGAAAAGGGTTCCAACTGGGATGATGGGCTTTTTGCTGCAGGCAGGTTCCAGGTTGCAGTCCCCAGTTGCACTCAAAATAGCAACAGCTGTCAGTAGGTATGAACAAACCATAATACAAAATCATCAGACAAGGTCATGATCAACAGTCAAAATGTCAGGGCAGATGGATAAAAAGGATCATTAAGAAGCAGGCAGGTATTCAAACTGGAACAGAGATTAGGGTACAGCAGGGGAACATACTGTATAGCAAACAAAGTAATTGACTAGGCAACTTTCAGTATTTTATAATCTAGTAATAAATGAAAGATAAAATGTTTTACTTACTTTAGGTATAAAGAATCCATTGAAAGTCACATCTTGCGTAGTAGCATGTGGAACACTTGTTGGTACAATATTTCCAAATCTTTGGATTTCATGGATAACGGCATCAGTATATGGCATTTTCTTTTCGGTGTATCTGGCGAGGCTCCCCGGAACCAATGACTTTTTCAATTTCCTTCTGAACGTTTTCTGGTATTGAAAGAAAGGCATACTGGGTGACTTCAGGGTTTTTCTATTTTCCCTTAAGATATATCCTGTCATTCTCAATCTTCTTGTTATCTTCTTGTTAGTTAAAAGATAACAAAGCCATTTCAGCAGCATTTTGGTGGACACCACAATTTGCTATAAGTGGATTCCCCTGTCTCCTGTAGGTAACTTTAAATACTACCTGTCCAGATAAAAATATGGAAGCTATCCTTCCTGACTTGTGTTTTAAAGTGTTAGCTCTAGACCTGTAGACAATGGCAGTATTGTTCCTATCATTATCAGGTGACATGCCTTAAGGACAAATTACATTTATACCAGTAATTTAGTCTATGCAGTTATTAGTGAGTTGTCATGTAACTGGGAAGATTGAAGTAAATGGATACATAGTGATGATCAAAGAAAACAATACACAAAATGAATCGCTTACTTTGTATTTCTGGGTATTTCATCATCAACAGAAGTCCCCATCGGAGAGTGGTGGAGGTTGTTTCCATTCCAGCAGCAAACAAGTCCGTCACCAAAACTGTTAGATTTATATCATTGAAATATAACTCTGGACTTGGCTTTTCCTGAAATGAATACAATTCATAGTATATCATATTTGCTTTAGCTCTTATATATTGGGTGGGGTCTGTAGACTTGCAAACCTTGGGGTTCAAATTTAAGGTCCCCCCAAACCTCCTCCACTGTTTGAGAAGATTATCTCTCACACAACACTCTTGCTAACCTGACTTGGTATATTTTAACAGTGTATAAAAGAGGATTTTGTTAGAGTACCTGAATTTTTAAAGCTGCTCTTTAAATAGGCAACTGAGGAAAAAAAAATGTTACATGGACGAAGCAGAAGCAGGGAGATGTTTGTCTGCAGCTTTCTTTCCAGGAAGGAGAACTGTGGAAAGCACAGTAGTGACATCACCAGTTCTCACTAGATCTTATAAGACTAGCAGTCAGAGGAAGCAATGCCTTGAATGATCTCACACTGCACATACACAGCTTTGAGACTTAAAGCACCGGGAGTGCACTATTTTTCAGTACAGTAAAAATTCAGGAACATTGATAAATATTTCAGTGTACTGCTTAGTAGTGTTGGGCTGAATGTTCGAGACGAACATTGACCGTTTGTGGGTTCGCTGGGCACACAAACGACACGGCTGTTCGCCCGCCATGCTCCACAATGCACTGCGCCTGATAGTGCATTGTGATTGGTCAAAGCAATGCACCTGACCACAGGTCAGGTGCAATGCTTTGGCCAACCACAGCACAGGATGACATCACAACAGTATTTTAGAACTGTCATTGTGGCGTAGCTTTCAGATGGCCAGGAGCAGGGTTTTTTTTTTCCTTTTTTCAGGTCGGCAGTGGCAGCCAGCATCGTGATTGAGGTTGGATCTATTTCGGGGGACATTTTTAATTTAAATTTTTAATAAAGGACTTCTCAAAGACTGTCTCCTGTCTTTTTTACACTACACTTTTTTTTTCGTGAATAGGTAGCTGTACAATATACTGCATAGTCATTCACATGGGGGGGGGATCCGGGGGCCCCCTTGTTAAAGGGGGCTTCCAGACTCCGACAAGCCCCTGCCCGAAGAGACCCTTTTCCCCATCAACATGGGGACAAAGCGCTTTGGGGGGGCCCCCTGCACCACAGCACCCCCCCATGTTAAGAGCATGTGGCCTTGTATAGTTCAGGGGGGTGCTCACTCATCCCCTCCCCTTTCCTGACCTGCTGGGCTGCATGCTCTGATAAGGGTCCGGTATGGATTTTGGGGGGACGCCCCCACGCCATTTAAAAAAAAAATTTAAAAAAAAATTAAAAAAAAAAAAATCCCCTCAAAATACCAGACCCAAATGGCTTGGTATAGATGGGAGGGGGAACCCCATGGTTTTTTAAGAAAATTTTAATTGTTGGGCATTGCCGACAATTCTTTTTACATTCAGCTGTCAGCTGTCATGATTAAACGTTTCACTATTAAAATACCGCATGACTTAAAAATATAACTCATGCGGTATTCTAGTAACTGAGCAGTTTATTACCGCATACTCAGATGCAGTAAGATACCGCTCAGTAAATTGTTCGTATTCGAAGTTCGTGGTCGAACATTCTGTAGGACACACACCCTACCACCCCCCCCCCCCCCCCGCCAACAGTCGGTTAATCCGACAAGTGCGTTTTTACCACTACTATTCCTTTATATTGGCTTTTGGAATTTACAAATGCAGAAGTTTAAAAATTGAATGAAAGATTTAGCACTATGCAACACTTTTTGATAGCTAAGTCATGCATTTTATACACAACTATATAGATCAGAGGGACAAATGAGGAGGAAAGAGGGACAGAAGGACTTTGTTCCAAATGAGGGACAGTCCCTCGAAATCAAGGACAGTTGGGAGCTATGCATTACAATACAATACATTACATCATTTCCTAAGTCAGCCTTTCTCAACCAGGGTGCCCAGGCACCCTGGGGTGCCTTGAGGTTTCTTCAGGGGTGCCTTGGAAAAATGTCTAAAAATTGCCCAAACTTGTGTACAAGCCTGCCTTTTAGTTACACAAAGCCCCAGGTTTTCATTGTACACCATTATGACCTTTTAGCTGTGGGCGCCCTGACAACCAATGACTGACATCATCAGTTGATAAGGAGGATCAGCTGCCTGCACAGCATCCTAGTTTGAGGAAGAAGAGAAACACTAAAATACTACTCAGTACCAGTGTGCAAAAGTGTATTTGCTTTGGAAGAATAAATCACCTCTAATGTGAAATTGGCGCCAGACGGACTATTTAAAGGGTGCCTTGGCCTATGCTAAGTGCTGACTGGTCTTCAGCTGTTCTCTGTTTCCTGCTCGTTCCTGTGTGATTTCTTGTTGCTGACCCGGTTTGTTCCTGACCTGATTCTGATTACTCTCCTGCTTGATACTTATTTCTTACCTCGGCTTCGCTCCTGACTTTGGCTTGCTTATGATTTGGTAGCTCACTGTCTGCCCGTTGATGACCCCGGCTATTCCTATGACAATGCTTCTGTCTCCCATCCCAGCTTCCTGTTTTACTCTGGTGTACACCTAGCGACCTACCAGATCAGCTCTGCATATCACTACTGTTCCTGAATTGGAAGTTCATCAGTCTTCCAAAGTCTCCAACTGCAAGAGCTGCAAACATCATCTACTGGCGCTCTTGTCCCCCTGGTCCCTAGACTCCCTCTGTTCCGCTTCCAGTGGGGTCAGGGCTAGTGACACAAGTGAGGCTGACCTCGTCATTTCAGTCTCCAATCAGGTACGTGACAGGTGTCCTACATGTGTGGATGTTTCTGTGTTATATAAAACGTTTCACATATAGAATGGGTTGACCTTTTAAAATTATGAACAGTCTTGAAGCACCCCTTTTTAGAATGGGGTGCTTCAAGACTGTCAATAATTTTAAAGGGTGCCTTGGAACTGTCCATAATTTTTAAGGGTGCCTTGACTGAAAAAAGGTTGAGAAACACTGTCCTAAGTTGTATTCTATTGTATGAGAATTTTTGTAACTTTGGTAATCTCTTCATTTTCGATATGAGGGATATATATAGGGATATGCCATCCTTCCTAGAATCCTTCCATTTGGGTGTAGACCGGCTAGGCCATATTGACTAGAATAAAAAAAACACCAAAAAAAGGATGATCATTTATCTGGTATTATCATCGTGTGTAGGAGGCTTAAGCCTTTTGATGCATTGACTGGTGCACATGGTGAGAGCCTTCATGATTTGTGTGCAGTTTCTCACATCTTAATAAGTTTTTGTCTGAGTCCTGGAGTCTGGAGGCTTTGTAGAGCTTTGGGTGTGATAAAGCTTTAATAGGCCCACATCTTACCTGCTAACCAAACCTCATTAATTAATCTGAGCTATGCACGGGCCTTTTTTCCATATGAGCTGACCAGGACTCAAGGGTCTGCAGGCTCTCTCTCTCTCTCTCTCTCTCTCTCTCTCTCTCTTGCTCGCTCTTGTTCTCTCTTTCCTGTCAAAGCCCACTGCTGGGGTAAAAGACTGACTGCTGACAGAACACTATGAGCATGCATATTCTGGCTTTAGTTTAGTGGCTTGGATCAACAGATGTTTTTGGCTTGTGCTATGGATCTGCAGTAGAAAGTCCTTCTGCACTGGGATGTTCTTGTTTGCTGCCTTGCTGAATAAAAGTGCAGGAGAAATCTGCTAGGACTATTCCTTGTGCATGGTTTCCTGCTGTCATTATCAGTTGAACCTGCCCCCTTATAACTTTACTGAAAATTAGCAATTAAAAACAGGTAGGTTCTGTATGAAGTAACATATTATATACTGTACCTCCTTTTGTTTGACAAGGAAGACATCAATGAAATTCCTCTGATCATTGACATCCAGCTGATTCCTCTGCTTGGTGAAGGTTTCTCTGATAAAATCATGAAATTCCTCTACATTTGGTATGAGTTCTCTGTGATTCCCGGGCAGCCATCGGACCAGAGATGGAAATGCATTGTACAACTAAAGGAAGAAACATACAGTTAGTTTTCTGATAATGATGAGTAACCATAAGTTGTCAGCAGAATAAACACAAATTGTACATTTATAAAGTACATGTATTTTTTTAAAGCAAACAGTGTAAATACCTGAATGTGCCTTTTGCAATCCCTGTATAACAGTACTGGAGTGCAAGAGGAAAAAAGCAGTACAAGGAGTCAATCAGTTCCTGTGCTGCCAAGAAGCATTATGATAGAAGGAGAAAGAAGTGTGGCAGAGAGATGAGCTCATTACTCTGCTGCTTCTCCTTTCACTGTCCAGTCACAGGTCGGGGTGGATTCAGGACAACCTGGGCTAAGAAGAAGTGGGTTGAATGATGCTGGTCATGCTGGGTAAATTTCTGAATTAAAGCTTAATATTTCAGCAAAAGCGTATTTTCTTATTTATTATCTCTTATTATTATCGTTTAATAGACTACTCACTTATATCTTGGTATATTTAGCTGTAATCCTGCTTCAATGGAAAGGTTAGGGACAATGTGAAGAGCAGAAGGGGGGGGGGGGTAATAGGCTAATAAAACTATTTGGATGATAATTGTTTAATATAATTCTGAAGTTTTGTAGATTTCTTGATGGTTTGAAAAGAAACTGGGCAGCAAGAAGACACCTGACGCTGCCTGTTTTATGTACCTGAGGCCTTCAGTATCATGTTAAAATGTTGCACTAAAAATAACCTTACCAAAACCATTGGAGAACCAGCAATTCTGGCATTATCATTGATTATTGTCAAAAGCCTCCGAAGTTTTGGATCATCATAGTCAAAGCGATGACCAAGCAATATAGACACAATGATGTTGGACACAGCAGCATTCATTATCATGGTGTTTTCAAATGGTTTTCCTGGAATACAACCAGAGACATAATTAAAACTCATAGTTTTGTCATGAACATAATTCTAAACAACAAGGGTCAAAAAAAGGTAATTTAAAAGGGTTACATTCAATTGCTGAATATGGCAAAGGCCTGCATTCCACTTTGCTGGAAATACATTATTGTCATCCCACATTGTTTCTGTGTTTCTCCAGGGTAAATGACTTTAGGAATATGGAGGACTTCACAGCCACCCTGTGTAATACTGAAGAGTCCTTCACGAAACCTGGAGGCCCTGGCAATTTTTCATCTGCATGGATGCATAACTGAATAAATTTTCCCTACCTCAGTAAGTCAACATTATTTTGGCTCTCTTTCCAGAAGAGGGTACCTGCCCTGTCTAATCATTCTTGGGTCATTTCCTTATCATTCTTCCTTCACTCCTCTCCTTTCTCTGTTTTCTACTTCCCCTCTCTTTGCTCTACTCCCATCTCCTCTTTCTTCTCCTCCCCTTGCCCTTCTCTGCTCTCTTGATCCCCCCTGTTTTCTTCCCCGCTCTCTTGCTGATCATAACCTAATGTTCTACACCCTATCTGCCTTCACCTGGATTAGTAACCCTGGTACTGTAGTTGGCAATGCTTCCTTTGCAGACTATTCATGATGGGAACTCTAAAGAACATTCAGCTAACTCTGCCTTAGCATTTTCACTATAGTGGTAACCATCATCACTGTAACCTTTAATGTTCCTCTGGTCATCCTCCTGGTTACAAATGATATTGTGTTTTTAAACCACCCTGTGCCTGTTTATTACTGGTAATGGCAGTCTGGTTAACGCTGCTCGATGGATGTTGTTCACAGTCCGCAGGGTGGCCTCTAACCACAGTAGGCACTTTCTGAACTACAGCTGTTTCCACATAGGTTTGTGAAAGGGTCCTCTCCCACAAGCAAGTGCCCAGCAGTAATAGCCAGTGGTCCTTTTTTTTTTTTACTGAAGGTGTGAGGCGTGAGTGGATTGGTACGCTCAGCCCACCCAGGAGAAATTCAGGCAAGACAGTCTGTCCAGCGTGAGATGGGTTTGTTGTAGGGCACAGATGGCTGGCAGATATTTGCAAAGAGCAGTAGAGACCATGGTGCACTTGAGTGGGTTCTGAGTCCCTCTAATGTTCCAAGATAAAACAGGCACTGAAGTCATTTTGACAGAGGGGTTATGTTATTTAGGGCTTTGAGAGTACTCTGGTGGTATGCTGCATGCTGACAAGTCATTAACCCCACATCTGGCTGGCAATTGCACAGATCTTAGTGCTTAGATTCAGGGATGGATTTGAGATGAATTCTGAAGAATGCTCAACAGGCTACACCGGCCTATGGGAAACAGTTTGAAAGGCTCTGGAACGACAATGAAGAAAAATGAGAACAAAAAAGTGCCATGGTACAGTTGGTTCGGTTGTGCTTTCAGCCTGACTGACACAAAGCCATAACTTTCGGGAGTCTCTCCACTGCACCTGGCTATCCCAGCCTCTGGATGGCACATAAAGAAAAGTAACTAAAAAAACAGGAACAACAGAGTCATTAGATAGGATTGGAGGATAACTGGTCTCTCCTTCCCCAAAACAGTTGAGTAGATCCATATAGAGCTTGGAACTATCATGGTGAGAATTCAGCAGCTAGGACAACTTGCTGTCACTTGCTCTCAATAGGAACATGATGTACTACACTCCCAGCTGGGACTTTATGAGTAGAAAACATCAGGAAGGCAGCTTCAGAGGTCATGGACTATGTGAAATTTGCAGCATATCCATCCTTCTCAGCAGCTTCTCTCGTTGTTTTCTGGAGAACATTTTCATTAGCATCGATCCGCAGCATTTTCGTAAAACTGTGGCTGTCCTCTGGCCGTGATGCAGAGCTTAGCCAGGAATAGCATAATGTAATGTACCTGTAGCCTTTGAAGTCACTTCTTGACATCTGCAAAGCACGCTGGGCGCCACTTGACATTAGCTGAAAAATCTGGATAGAAAGAAATTATGGCTCCATTGTACTGGATGTTGTGGCATTCTCTAGCCAACTGAAGAACAATTTCTTTATCTTTATCATTCAAGAGACATGCCAGCAGCAACCGTGGTGGATTGCCTGGTGGTAGGAGACTAGATGGAACTCTGTGTGCTCTTTCTACTAATATATAAAGGGGTAAAGGTCTCCTTGCCAAAGATCTCAAGTAGCCACTGCTCCACAAATTCTGTGAGATCTTTACCCTCCACCTTCTCGGGTAATCCCACAATCGAGACATTATTTCATCTCAAATTATTTTCAGTGTTCTCTGTTCTCAAACCATTGGCTGTGGCTAGCCTGGCATTGACATGTGTGTCTCGTATAAGCAGGGAAAGCTTATCTTCCAGATCACTAATTCTTCTTTCAGTGGCCGTTGTGCGCTCTCTAATCTTTTGCAAATCCTGCCAGATTAGGCCCACTTCTTCCTTCACCCCCTCCGAAATGTTCCTTCAGGGTGTTCACAGAGGCAGTGCATTTGTGGACAGCCCTAAGTACTGTATTTCTGCAAGGGTGGGTTGCTTACCATCCTCCTCCTCCTCCTTCTCTGCATCTCTAAATAGATGGTTGGCCTGGGTTGTAATGGCAGAGAGGCCAGTGGTCTGCACTTCGCCCTTCTGTTCAGCGTGAAAATTTTCAGGAGAGGCCTCTATATCCTCATCAAGGGCCTGCCCCGACAGCTTCCGGGCATAGAACAGCATATCCGTGGGGGGAGCCTGGTTTTGGCCTTAGGCTGTATACTCACTGCGTCCTTTTGTCTATCTGCACCACGCGGTGTCCATTGAGGAAGAGACTCTGTGGCACAATGTTGAGACTCCAGCTGTGCATTGTCCTCATTGGCCTTGCATGACACCATGCCCCCAGTGGTCCTCTCTTGATGATCAGGGGTCCTTGTCTCTCCCCATTCCCTCCCTTCCTGCCCTTTTCTCTCAAGCCTCTCTCCCACCCCCCTCTTTCTTACTTTGAATTCCCTCCCCAAAGCAGTACCTGTCATAACTGCAGCCAAAAAAGTTTAGTTTTGTTTCATCAGCCAAAGTACTTGGTCCTTTGTGTTTTTAACTGAGTTCACATTGGTGTGCTGCTGTTTACTCATAGTGCTGGTGTATACACCATTTTCCCTCATTTTACCCATGTTTTTAGCTGTGTTCACTTAGATTTATTTTAGGTTGCGCGTTTTTTTTTTTTTGTTGCATTTTCTGAAAGTGCACCAAAAATCCTGCATGCTGCCTCTCTGCATACATCCTGCATGCTGCATCATTGTAAGGACAAGCATATTACTTGTTACCGGCATCTTTAACTTTTATCTATTGTTTTTATGCTTTAAATATCATTTCTTTTAGTTTCTAATATGTATATGTTATATTTTGGGTTGTCAGTAAAAAAATGCACTCCGATAGTAAAAACAAAAGTAATGGGGGATGGCAACACTGCCTCACATCTAGCATTGGACAGAGTATGATGGCAGCAGAAGTTTCTGATCAGCACTCTTCTACTGGGCAGCACAGTTTCATATAGCCACAGCAAACCCTCACCACACAGCACTGCAACCTTGTGGTGCTCTCTCTTACGCTTTAGCACAGGAAATGTTTGCAGCAGCACATGGTCCCACACAGCTGCAACAACCCTTAACTTTCTCTCTCCTTTCTTCATGATGTTGCCACCTGTCTCTCCAATTGAGCCCACCAGTCCCCTCAACCCTCTGGGAAATGTAGTTCCTCTTTTCCTCCCAGAACCAGTGCTATGCTGTGCTAGGGCATACATCCCCATCAGCCTGCATACCATTTATCCTTGATCTGTTGCATCAGCCAATCAGCCAATCTAGACCCCTGAGCTGGTGACACTCCATAGATGAGCATTGCAAAGTGATCTCACTAAAGATGACTGCTGCACTTCTGCATTAATGAATATTCAGGGTAACCATGGCCACACTGCAAAAGGATAATACAGCAGTAACAAAGAAGGAGGTACCACAGCAGTTATCAGCTACAGTCCAGGTTACACCTTCCACAAGAACTATTGCAAAAATAATTCATTGCATGTAGAAATGTTCTAGACTGCTCTACTTCCCTGCTAACAGGTTATGATATAAACAATTGTAACACCCTGCATTAACACTGGTTGCAGGATGCTAAGGGATAGCAGTGTTATGCGATTCAGCTAAGCTTGAAGAAAAACCTTGTTGAACTTATAAACTGGTAGCAGGATTTTTGTGCTCAGACAAGGAGTGAGCAGACCACATTTCCCAGAAGAGCTGGCAAAGGGGTGGGAACATATATATTCAGAAGCCCAGGAACTTTACAGGAAGGAGGGGGATGGTGAGGAACAGAGAATGTGTATGGAGAAGGCCATGTGGGATGCTGGAGTTCCAGGCCAGGCCAGGCCAGGCCAGGCTGCAGAGCGGAAAAGTAAAGAAGGATCACAGACTGCTGGTATCTCTGACAAGTAGGACAGACAACTCTGCAGGCAGGAGGATCATGGTGCAGCCACTGGCATTGCTTCTTACCAGAAGGACCAAGAGAACATGGGTGAAACCCTACTGAGAGACTACCTGTTATGCTACTGAGGCTACAGATTGGGTGAGAGGGTTCCAAACCCAGATAATTACAAGTCGCAAGTGACTGTGTTAAGTTTAATTGTTTCTTTCAGTTTAGTACACCTTACTAAACAACTTATCACACTGGGACCCAAGCTGCCCAGCTTATTTCTATATTGTGGCCTACTAATTAGTGCTGTATTAGCCTCCTGAGCTGTAGGACCCTGGTACAGTATAGGCACCCTGAAGACAGAGTCACATTAGTATCTCTTTTCAAGTCTCTTGTAACTTCAAAGGAATTTGCTTCCTCAGTTTAGTTTACCTCCTTTTAGGAGGAGTCAGTCTCTGCTAAAGTCAGCTTTCACCCCTTTCTACAATATCAATAAATCTTTGCCTTCACCCTTTGTGCTGAAGAGATTTCATTTAAATTCCACATCACTCTAAGAATGAGTCTTCTCTTTTTTTCCTTAGATTACACCATCTAGAGGGAAACGTACTTTCACACAAGGAGGGATCTGAATCTTAATGTGCACCAACTAGAGCCCCATCGAGCGTGTAAAAAAATTGGACACTTTTGGTAAAATAGATACAAAAAGGGACATTACTGCTTTTCATGAATTCATCTCCAGAGAGCCCAAGGTGAGTTAGCCTGACAATTTGATAGTTTCTCTTGGCTCCCTTGGATAGAGACATCTCAGGGGGTGGGACTGAATTTAAATTCTGATTCTGCAGGGAATTTGGGATTTTCTAAAATTGATACTGTGTTACAAAATTTTGTTAAACCCTCTAGAACAGTGGTTCTCAACCTTCCTAATGCCGTGGCCCTTTAATACAGTTCCTCATGTTGTGGTGACCCCCAACCATAAAATTATTTACCCAGTAATTATAATTCATAAGTGTCGTTTTACCTCCAATACTGCTGCTTTCAACACAGTAGCTGCTTTTAACAGAGTAGCTGCTTTCAACACAGCAGCTCCTTTCTACACAGTAGCTGCTCTTTACACATCGGAAATATGTGTTTTCTGATGGTCTTAGGGGACCCCTGTGAAAGGGTCATTCGACCCCCAAAGGGGTCGCAACCCACAGGTTGAGAACCACTGCTCTAGAACATTTAACGGTTATTTCATGCACATTTACTGCTTTTTTTTGTTGCGCCTGCTCTCTTTATATTGTGACCTTAATACAACCAGAATACCTGTTCACCCTGAATCCTGTGTGTTTATTTTATGGTTCCAACCTAGAGGGGGTCCTCCTAGTCAAAGGTTTATGGTGGTGTCAGCAGGGGTTGAGTTTTCAAAGCAGGCTCAGGACACACAGGGAACCCCAAAATACTCAAGGGCCCTCAAGGGGGTAGCTGCTACACAATTATAATTCACATTTACAGCAGTTCTCATATATGAATTTCAAGTTAATCTGTTATCATTAAAGAGCCCGTGTAAGAGGGAGATTGTCCGGGTTGTATAAATGGAACCTTGAAAGGAAGATGCCAACTTGTGACTGCTCACTATCAGGGACTAGACACCAGCTAATAGAAGATTCTAGTTAAGAGCTTCGGTCTGATTTCATAGGAGAGGAATCTCCCCAAGAAAAAAGGCGGGGAGGAGGGGGGTGCTGTCAATGACAGGAAGGCACTTCCTGAGTATGTGCATGTGTGAGAAGTCTGAAGAATCTAAGAAAAAATAGGTGTAGTATGGTCCTGTCTCCTGGGTGCGGCGACGGCCATCTTTGATCCTGGTACATGCGGCTGTGTTTTCCCTGCAATCCTCGTGGGGCTTTGAGTACTGGTGTACTCACTGCAACCGTTCCTCCCTCGGGAGTGTTACAAAGGTCTGTGGGAAGTAACCCCTGATACACATTTTGAGGGTAACTATGAACTCCCTTTGGTTGGTATGTAAGTGGAGTGACTCCTAAGGTTGAGGTTATCTTTCTTCTGTATAATGATAGTGAGAACAGGGGATATGAAATATATAGGATTGTGTAGATGGTCAAATGTTGTCTTTTGCATTTGAATGCAGTACTGTTCAAACATATGTTTGAAAACATATACATTTTAGCAGGACCTGCTGCATCTAGGAATGCAACGCAAATCAGGATAATGCAGTCTCAGGACCCTCTACCAAAAATGGATTACTACTGACCTTTGTAGGCTTTAAGAACTTTTGTCAAATTGTGGCACTCTTCAGTGATCTTATCCTCTATTGTTCTCTTCCCCATCCCTAAATCTCGCAGTGTAGAAAGAGTGAATCGTCTCATGGCTTTCCAGTTATTACCATTAGAGAATATAAGACCTAAAAAAAATAAAACATACATTCTGTCAGTCTAAAGGGCAATTCCAGGCAACCAGGGAGCTGCTTTTTTATTACTGTTATGCAGTCAGGCAGCATACACTGAAAAAGTATTCCAACCAACAAACAATTCAGTATAGCTTATTTTACAGTATGTGTGATCCACTACAGCAGAATTTAAAGAAATCTCTATTAAAAAATTGATATGTGGTGATCCTACATTATTAATTGTTGCAGTGATGAACATCCCAAACACATATTATAACATATTAGTTCTATTACAAAGAGGGGCTGTCATGCACTTAAAACACCTGCAATGTATAAATATTACAATACTTAATGTGCCAAAATAGATAATTTATTTCAAGGACAAGTTTTTTTATTCCATTTAGGACATGTTTTTTCACAATAAAAACAGTGGAAGGCCACCATGCTTCCAAATATAACACAATGTTTTGAGGAATGTATAGTTATATGAAATATACAAAAAAACTAATATATAATAGAGGGAGAATCCCTGTACTTGGGTGGAATTTTGGTAAGCTGCCAGCACAAAAAATCTGTGATACCAAATAGAAGTAAAACGGTAAAAATAAAGAGCAGCGCTATAGAAAATGCAAACTTATGTGCATATACATTAAAATGTGTCAAGACATAAGCATGTAAAGTCTTCATCAATCAATAAATGTGATAAATAAATACCAAAGTTCAATAAACTTAGGTGACCAAATGAAAAGTGTCCATTAAGTGTACATGTACACCAAAAAGTGTGTTATAATAATCCACTCCTTGTAGTACTATCAGAGGAAAAACACACCAAACAATCCACTTCTTGAGGGCAACAGTAAGCAAAGACATCCACCAACAATTGCTCCCCTGGTACCAGATTAACATGACCATCATATAATGTATGGTCAAACTGCACTTAAAGGGTGAAAAGGTTTTTCTCCAGCATACACACATCTTGGAAGATAATAATTAATAAATATTGCATTACAAATAAAGTCCATATATCTAGTGCTTCATTCTCGTGTACTTCAATAACAGTGTTACATGCTCTGAAAAATCCTCATTTCTATGAGGACACCCTGCAGAAGGATTGAAACGCGTTGATGCAATTTCTGGTTGCTTGGAACCATTTTAGGATACTGCATCACCTTTTTTTTTTGATGTTATCTGAGGATACTAAATTATTACTACAAGGGTATTTGTTGTTTATGGAATGTGAGTGAAATATATATTTTATCATAGCTAATAAGTGGCATGACAATATTACACTATTAGTGTTCCTTTTGCTTCCCTTTGATACATATCTGATAGTAAACGGAATACACTGACGGGCTGAACCTTTCCTATTACAACTATGGAACCAGTACTCTATTGAATCCTGGAAACATCTGTGAGCACATCCCACCAGAGAAAAGCATTTTCTGACTCTTAAGCCCATAAAACTAGAAGTCCACCTCATCTGGTGAGTGAGGAGTGCACAGGGGAGGGAGCACCGAGCACAACGTGATTTAAATTTGTTTCAGAGCACAGGACATTGGCATTGGTTTTTTTCAGCGCATGTGACACTTATTGAAGTACACAAGCACGAAGCACTAGATACATGGACTTTATTTGTAATGCACTGTGTTTATTAACCTCTTCTCGCTGGCAGCGCGCACAAATGTGCGGCCTCCCCGCATCTGGGCCTAGATGCCGAGCGGCCGCACATTTGCGTGCAATTAAAAAAAAACATATGTGCTGAGAGCGCGCACCCTGCGCGCTCTCAGCACACATGTTCGGTACTCATGGAAAGGTCCCGGTCCTGCTCTTTCAATCGGGACCTTTCCCGATCATGTGACCGCTGTGATGACGCGTCACGGCGGTCACACGATCCCTAAACCCCGCCCGTCCCGCCTCCCGGCTTCTGAAACTCTTAAAGGGCCGGGAGGCGCCGGCGGGAAGGGGTTAATTATTATTATTTTCTATTAGTGTATTTCATGTTTGAGCAGCGGGATTCTTTAGCACAATAGTTTTTTTTTTGCACAATATTTTGGTCACAACTTGTTTTGTGTATAGTAGCGTGGGTTATTTGTTGTTTAGACATCTTGAAAGATCTTGAAAGATGCCCATGTTTTTCCCCACAATAATGACATGAAGAAGAAGAAACAAATTGTGTATAGGGTAATAGCTCCAAATCTGTTTTAAAATATTTCATTTACTTATTTCAGGTACTTGTATAGCTCCATCAATTTACGCAGTGCTTTACATATATATATTGTACATTCAAATCAGTCCCTGCCTTCAAGGAGCTTACAATCTAAGGTCCCTAACGCACATTCATACGTACACATAGTAGGGCCAATTTAGATAGGAGCCAATTAACCTACCAGCATGTCTTTGGAGTGTGGGATGAAACCGGAGTACACAGAGGAAACCCACGCAAGCACAGGAAAAACATGTATAAGGCACTGTAAAACAGGCAAAAAAAATCCCAGCAAGGCAATCTTACATTACATACATCCAATTAGCAAAGGTACTTCTTCTGATCTGAATTCCAAAAAAGTCTGCGTGATGACGCCAGGTTTGTTAGCCTCACCCAACGTGTTTCGGCATAGAAGACATCATCAGGGTCCACTCTTTTTTTCTACTTAAAGTAGTAGAATGTTTATACCTTCCAGGTATTTGAGGTACATGACAGCAACTCTTTGAGCAATACACCGCTTTCCAAATTATTATGCAAATTCTATTTAAGTGTCACAAAGATGAAATATTTTGTTTTTCAGTTTAACTCATGGATGGCATTGTGTGTCAGGGCTCTTTTGACCACTGAAAACAATCTCGGACACCTGTGATAATTAGATTGGCCGGTGAGCCCAATTTAAGGAAAAACTACTAAAGGAGGGTGTTCCACATTATTAAGCAGATCACCATTTTCAAGCAATATGGGGAAGAAAAAGGATCTCTCTGCTGCCGAAAAAAGTGAAATAGTTCAATGCCTTGGACGAGGTATGAAAACATTCGATATTTCACGAAAACTTAAGCGTGATCATCGCACTATTAAGAGATTTGTGGCTGATTCAGAGCACAGACAGGTTCATGCAGATAAAGGCACATTGAGGAAGATTTCTGCCAGATCCATGCATCGGATCAAGAGAGCAGCTGCTAAAATACCATTACATAGCAGCAAACAGATATTTGAAGCTGCTGGTGCCTCTGGAGTCCCACGGACATCAAGGTGTAGAGTCCTCCAGAGTCTTGCAACTGTGCATAAACCTTCTATTCGGCCACCAATAACCAATGCTCACAAGCAGAAACGGCTGCATTGGGCAGAAAAATACATAAAGACTAATTTCAAACAGTCCTGTTCACTGATGAGTGCCATGCAACCCTGGATGGTCCAGATGGATGGAGTAGTGGATGGTTGGTGGGCGGCCACCCTGTTCCAACAAGGCTGCAACGTCAGCAAGGCGGTGGTGGAGTCATGTTTTGGGCCGGAATCATGAGAACAGAGCTGGTCGGCCCCTTTAGGGGCCCCGAAGGTGTAAAGATGACCTCTGTAAAGTATGTGGAGTTTATGACTGACCACTTTTTTTCCCTGGTACAGAAGGAAGAACTATGCTTTCTGTAATAAAATCATCTTCATGCATGACAATGCACCATCTCATGCTGCAAAGAATACCTCTGCATCAATGGCTGCTATGGGGATAAAAGGAGAGAAAGTCATGGTGAGGCCTCCATCCTCCCCTGACCTCAATCCTATTGAGAACCTTTGGAGCATCCTCAAGCAAAAGATCTATGAGGGTGGGAGGAAGTTTAAATCCAAACAGCAGCTCTGGGAGGCTATTCTGACATCTTGCAAACAAATTCAAGCAGAAACTGTCCAAAAACTCACAAGTTCAATGGATGCAAGACTTGTGAAGCTGCTATCAAATAAGGGGTCCTATGTTACAATGTAATGACCTGTTAAAATGTTTAAAAAGTTAAAATGTTGTTAAAAATTTGATTGAAATAGCTTTTGATTTCAGTAAATATGCTGAAAACATAACAAATGACAATTTTCAGTTCTTTTCAACCTATAAAGTGTTTTGAAACTTTCTGTGCGTAATAATTTGGAACAGTGAATTGTACGTTTTTTATGTTTAAAAAAAATACTGTTTTCATTAGGAGGTTTGTTCAATAAAATGTGAATTGTACTCTTAATAGTTGATAACATGAGAATTATGCTGACTGTTATTTACATCAATTATTTAGGTAAATGAGAAAAATATCATTTGCATAATAATTTGGAACACGGTGTACTGTGTTACAATACAGCAGAATTTACAGAACTATTCTCAAGTTAAGGGATGCCTTCTGAAATCTCTGCTGTTGTGTACTTACATTTATACATTTTCATGAGTTATTGACTTTTAAAAAAAAATGTATTTGAATTCCTGCCCATAATAAAGAATGGAGATGTTGCCACTGTTGTACTTTCAACTGTTGTACATGCAGCACCCTTGGTGGACTTTATATAGGGTACAATGATGATTGTCCTCCTAGGATGTCTTTTTTTCACTGCACCATGAAAAATGGGGGTCTTTTTAATCTGCAGTCTTGTCAACGTACTTTAAAATCTGTTCACATGACCACGATGTGTATGCTATTGTTCTCTATATGATAATCTGGTCATAAAATAGATCACATTAAATAATGGATAAATACCATGTTCCTTGGCTATGTCTATAAAAACTGGCACATGTGGTCTTCCAGAAAACTCCTCAGCATGGTTGACCAGCGCGTCTTTCACTCTCTCATAGCCACAGAGCACAACCAACTTCTGAGGTCCCAACTGTAGGCTATAAACTGAACCATATTCCTCAGCAAGCTGCAAAGAAAAAAAAAAATGTATAATATGAAAATCAATACTGTATGGTGTATATTGACATAGAGATGCTGGTCACTTTAAAGTAAAATATTTAAAGCCTAACCTCAGCCAGTTTTTTTAAACTGTATCATTTGTGAACACCTGAGTCATAGGAGACTGTAATGCTTCAGTGTTGCTGCAGTAAGCCACAGAGTAAGTTGAAATCAGAAGCACCAATGTCAGGGACAAATCAACAAAGCATAGGTATGCATGATCATGATTTGTAGATTTATATGCATTACACTTTAAGTGAAATCTTTGAAACACCTGACATTTTGACAGTCCTTTTATCATGACCTGTAGATGCTAGTAGGCTGCTGCCTATATTGCCACCTACAATGTGTATTGATGGGACCAGCAGGATGTTTTCCTCCTGTCTATGTTCCCAGGAAGTAAAATCTGACATTAGTATTATTAGGTATTACTGGTCTTCTGTGATGGTCTATGCAGCTATTTTGGTCTTATCCCTTTACATAGTCAGTGGACAGACCGCTAATGATACCTCATGTACAACGGTGAACAGGAAAAGACACACTTTTTTATAATAGTGGACAATACAAAGACCCCACTGGTGGTCACTGGAGCAGTTCTCCCTTACATTGGTGGTAAATAACACCTTAAATTGGTGCAAAAGCGCTAATGTCAGAGGTTACTTCCTTGGAACATAGACTGGAGGGAAACATTCTGCTGGTCCCATCACTGCCTTCATCCTAAAATGTTCACACTTGAATTATGCGGGTGCCTTTGGGCTGGAGACCAAGCAGTCAAGAAATGTCTACAGCAGGGATGCTGGCTGGGTCCCAGGGATGAATGAGAAGTTAAAAAGCAGGACGCAGAGCTCTGCCACTCAGTCCCTGCTATGGTGTTAATTCTACCAATGACTTATGACCTGTCAAGTTTCCTTTTCTTAGAATGCTCAGAGACTCCATGAGTGAGGTTAATCGACAATAGTTTGTGTCTCTGCCCACTCCAGAGCACTTTATTTCATCATAATAATGTATTCTTCATTTAAAAAAAAATATATTGCTGAACAGAAAGCTATTTACATATACATTATCCATGCATTTAATTTAAAAATGTAAAGCTCTTACCTGGTGAAATGTTACATAAGGTTTACTCAGATTTATAAGGTGCATATTTCCAATAATAGGCAAACATGGTGGTCCAGGAGGATAATTTGGATGTTTTTTTTTCTTCTCCCCAAACACAAAAATTGCCAGGAAAACACAAGTGACAACAGAGAGGACAATTGAAACCGGATCAGTTACATACATGTCTGCAGCAAAACCTGGAGAAAATGAAAAATTAGAAACTGAACTGAACAATAATTAAGCCGAGAAGAATCAGAGAATCTAGGGAGATGAGCTTTGTATCATTTATGGTTGCAGACTTTTTCTGGGAGAAAAGTCCAAGGATGACACAGACACTACACTTCCTCTCCACCTCTCTAGGTCATCATTAACATGCTTTGGGAGTAAATCCCATTCTGTAAATTTGTTATTGTGGATTTACAAGTTATTGCTGGACCTTATAGGAAAGGGTTCTCTGTGGCTACCCAACTCCTAGAGTTGTCGGTCCCTTTAAGGCATGATGGTTGTAGAAGTGGGTGATGAGTGTTATAAAGAAAGGTCTTTAATGTCCAAATGTTAGAAATCGTACGTTTATTCGAAAACGTGTATATATAACACTACCAACATGTTTCAGAGGTTTGAACCCTTCTTCAGGGATTAAGGCTTGAGACTGTAAATTGGTGCATAGTTCAGTGTAAAACCATGATGGGATACCTTGTGAGAAGTGTTATTGTGGATGTGCTGCAAACCCTGAAATGATCAGTTATATTGTGTAAACACTTAAAAAAACCAAAGTATGCACAAATTGGAAGATTCTGACATCTTTCTCCACATCCTTCTGTCTCTGCCATGGCACTCATTTCAATTCTTTAACAGCTTAATACTGAAACTTGGTGTTATTTGGTTTGTTTTTAAACATATCTAAAGCCAAACCTTTTTTCATTAATTTTTGATAGATACATGTAGTAGGGGATAAAACTCATTCTTTGTCCAGTGGGGAGAGTTAACTTCACTTCCTGTCATATAGACACAACAGGAAGAGAGAGGAAATCTCTTCAAAATGGTAAACATTTTTTGGATAGCTATAACAAGAACAGATGACCCCATTGGAAGAGCTACCATTACCTCTTTCATCACTTCAGTGGTCACCAAGACAAAAAGAGAGAATGAATCTTCCCAATTGATACACTGGCATCCATACAAAAAAAATTACAAAGGTTCTAACACTTCCCAACTCAATCAAAAATAAAAAAATGCTTGGCTTTAGATACAAAATCAAAACAGTGCAAATAAATACGCATTATCCCCATCTGAATAAATATATAAATTAAACAAAACTAAAAACAACATTCCAGCCTATGCAATCCAGTGACCCAAATGATAAGTTCAAAATAAATTATGCAAGCCATAGCATCATAATTCTTTAAATTAATGTGTGGAACTCCCACTTCCCACTGGAACTCACCAAATCTTTAAGACTTCCGAATAAATGTAATTAAAAAAAATACTCAATATTCCCCTTATTGGAGGACCATCAACATTCCAAATCAGCAAAGATCACTGTTTCCCAATGTTCTCAAGTATCAGGTGAACTAGGGGAAATAAAAAACTTACAACAGTGAATTATTTAACGAAAAAAGAAAAAAACATACTCAAATTCAGCATAAACAGCCAAATAATTGCTGGCATGAATTATTGGCTAAGCTTTACCTTACTCTCTGCCAGCAGGACATCCTCTCAGTGAAGCAGCTGATGCATTTCTTCCAAGCAGCTTCATTGAAGATGAAGAAGTGGAATCAGAAGATAACAGCCACAACTAGCTACAACCAAACAAGGAATGATGGCATGAAGCAGCATTAGATGCAAACTTTATTAATATATTAAAACAGGGCTCATACAGGCAAACAAAGTTCTTGAAAGCATTATGCGCTTACTCATAGAGTGATCCCCAAATTAGCATTTTTATCTGTTAGCAATATAATAATCATAATCTTCACATCATGTCCAACTAGTGCATATACAACTAATACTAAACATTTAAAAAAAAAACATTTGATATAAGATCCTCCTTAACCACTTGCCGACTGCAGATAGCCTAATGGCATGCACCCGGGGGCATACGCCTGGTGATCTCCATGATCGCTGTGTCCTACAGACACAGCTGATCACGTCATGTGGTAAAAGGCCAATCACAGCGGCCTTTTACCATGTGATCAGCCATGTCCAGTGACACAACAGATCACTGGTAAATGCAGTTGCCAGTTATCGGCTGCACTTTCCTCACGTTGTCACAGCGGGAGGAAAGTACTGCCAATAACTGGCAATTGTCAGAGGAGGGATCAGCACCGATCATCAGGGCACTAATGATCAGTGCCCTGATGATCGGTGCCCAGCAGTGCCGCCCACCTGTGCCCAGCAGTGCCACCCACCTGTGCCACCCAGCAGTGCCATCCATCAGTGCCCAGCAGTGCCGCCAGTCAGTGCCATCAGTCAGTGCCACCCAGTCAGTGCCGCCTATCTGTGCCCATCAGTGCCACCTATCAGTGCACATCATTGTTGCATATCAGTGCCAGCTCATCAGTGCCGCCTATCAGTGCCCATCAGTACCGTCTATCAGTGCCCATCAGTGCTGCTTATCAGTGCCCATCATTGTTGCATATCAGTGCCAGCTCATCAGTGCCTCCTCATCAGTGTTGCCTATCAGTGCCCATCAGTGCCTGTCCATGCTGCCTATCACTGCCCATCAGTGCTGTCTATCAGTGCAGCTTCATCAACGCATATCAGTGAAGGAGAAAAATTACCTGTTTTCAAAATTTTATTATAGCTCAAAAAATAAAACACCCAGCAGCGAGTACATATCACCAAAAGAAAGCTCTATTTGTGTGAAAAAAATGCTAAAAATGTCATTTGGATAAAGTGTTGCATGACTACACAATTGTCGCTCAAAGTGCGACAGTGCTGAAAGCTGAAAATTGCCTGGTGGTAGTGGTTAACTCATTTCTATTGCAATATATATATATAAATGATCAACCTACAGAGGACTGAATTCAAAGACACCCCGAAAATCAAAGTGAAAAAATTATGCGGCAGGCTAGTTTATTTTGCTGAAATGGTACTCAGTAGTTTTTATGGCCCCCATGTGCTTGTATGCATGCTGACAACATCGGAGCATGTTCCTAATGAGACGACGGATGGTGTCCTGGGGTATTTCCTCCCAGATCTGGAACAGGGCATTAGTGAGCTCCTGGACAGTCTGAGGTGCAACCTGGTGGCATCAGGTGGACTGAAACATGATATACCAGAGGTGTTCTATAGCATTTAGGTCTGGCGCGTGTGGGGGCCATTCAATGGTATCCTCCAGCAACTTCCTGCATACTCTCGCAACATGAGGCTAGGGGTTTGTCATACACCAGGAGGAACCCAGGACACACTGCACCAAGTTTAGGGTCTGACAATGGGTCCAAGGATTTCATCCCAATACCTAATGGCAGTCAGGGTCCCATTGTCTAGCCTGTAGAGGTCTGTGCATCTCTCCATGGATATGCCTCCCCAGACCATCAATGACCCATCACCAAAACAGTCATGCTGAATGATGTTACAGGCAGCATAACATTCTCCATGGCTTCTCCAGACCCTTTCATGTCTGTCACATGTGTCAGGGTGAACCTGCTCTCATCTGTGAAAAGCACAGGGTACCAGTGGTAGACCTGCCAATTCTGGTGTTAATTGGCAAATGCCAATCGAGCTCTATGGTGCCAGGCAGAGGAAGTAACCTCATGCTACCAGTAGTGACACTGACAGTAGCCAAAGCAAAACTAGTGAAAAACAGTCAGAAAAGATGAGTAGGGAAAAAAATTTCAGTGGCCTCCACCTGGTAAAACCATTCCTGTGTTGGGAGGTGTCTTATTGTTGCCCATTTAGTGCACCTGTTGGTAATTTCAATAACATCAAAGCAGCTGAAACTGATTAACAACCCCAATTGCTACTTAACTGACCAGATCAATATCCCAGGAGTTTATTGACACTGATGCTATACTTGATTAAACAGAGTTCCTTTAATTCTTTTGAGCAGTGTACAGTTTCGAGCAGTGTGTGTGTGTGTGTGTATATATATATATATATATATATATATTGTAACAGGGTTAGCTCGGCAGCAGGTGTGTGTGACCCCCTGGATGGGTGCACAACACAAAAAAAGATAGGCACAGCACAACAATAGTGGAGGTGAAAACAAACAGGTGCAATTTATTTACAATATTTACAGAAAAAAATGATAAACAAAAAGAGACATCAAAAATAAATCCTGGCCAACTTGGCTACTTACTGCAACAACAGCTTTTCCTAGCTACCCACTAGGTACAGCCTGCTGCTATACCTAGTTGCTAGTACTGGGAGGTTAGCCACACAGGCTTTGGTCTCTCTGCACACAGATAACAGGTCAGCTCCCCAGACAGTTCAGGCACAGATCTGGTTCCAGGGTGGAGCAACTCCCTAAGCACTCTGGGAAGCTTTATACAAGTGTTAATGAGCCCACTACCTTCAGCTGGGCTCATTATCTCAGTGCTGAAGGACTCAGCACTTCCCTCTAGTGGTACAAATCCCCATAAACCCTGAATCTCGGACAAATATATCGTCCATCCAGGACGCAACCAGGTGATTTCACCTGCCTACTGTCACATACCCCCCCCTCTTGTTTCAACCTTGGGGTTGTAACACCAGTAGCCAGGCAGGCATGTACCCGGGATAAAGCATCCACATTTCCCATCTGAACACCGGGGCGATGCTTCACCGTGAAGGTAAATTCCTGTAGGGCCAGAAACCACCTATTTACCCTTCTATTGGTCTCCTTATTTTGAGCCATCCATTTCAAGGGAGCGTGATCTGTGATCAGGTCAAAATGTCTGCCCAGCAGATAGTACCGAAGGGAATCTAGGGCCCACTTTACCGCTAAACACTCCTTCTCAATCGTGGCGTAATTTTTCCTCGTGAGACTTTAGCTTTCGGCTGAGATAGATTACCGGGTGCTCCTCCCCCTGCCAAACCTGGGACAGCACTGCTCCTAAGCCAACATTGGATGCATCTGTCTGGACCACAAAGTCTTTTGAGAAGTCTGGCGAGAGTATAGGACTGGCTGGCTACATAAGGCCCTTTTTAAAGACAGGAAGGCTGCTTCAGCTCAGGGGACCACTTAACCATGACAGACT